ATATATATGTTCAAATGAAAACCATAAAAAATTAGAAACACTAAGAACTATTCTTTTTACTTTATAAATAATATATTTATAATTTCTAAAATATGTCTATAAAGCCTAAAATGGTATTTTTGTCAAACATATTTTTATAATTTAACTCATATATTTGATCAATATTCTCTCACAAAACAACTTTTCTTTCATTCTCTCATCTCTTTCTCTCTCTTACCTCCTACTGTCGCCGACCACCACCACAGTCGCCGGCACCACCATCGTCGGCCACAAACACCATCGTCGACACCACCGCCAGAACCGTCGTCGTCGTCCGACAGAAAACGATCTTCAGATGTGGAGCTGCCGCTTTCACATCTAGATCCTTCTCCCTCAGATCTAGAGCCTTTGCTTTCAGATCTAGAGTCTCCGCATTCAGATCTGCCATCACCACCGAGTGCAACCTCCTTCCATTATCATTTATCTCACCAGCACTGACTGTCGCCTTCCATCAACCACTTTTCTTCATTGGAACACCTAGAAAACACTACACTCTATTTTGAAGTCTGAATATGCTTCTTCTCCAGATCTCCAACGTTTCAGATCTAATGAAGCACGAGAAAAACTCTGATATGCTTCGCCGGGATAACATATATGACGGAGCATGAAGCTCGTTCGCCTCCACATGTACGACAACCTCTAGAACTACTTCTTTCTTCAAACAACCACTAGAGACCGGCTCTATCTTCATTCACACTAGATCTGGTCAGATCTGATGTAGATCTGAAAATTTAGTGTTATTTTACAAAGGTTTTTCTTTCTATTTCATAATTTCCTCGTTGGATCTACATCAGATGTAACAACCATAAAAATCATGTCAATTTTAAACCTTTAAAAACATTTCCAAAACCAGTTGATTATTACAAAACTTGTTTTCAAAATATCCAATGTCAAAGTTTCCCAGAATCAAATCATAAAATCATAGGAGGTGTACGATCACGCCTTCGCCTTCCCGCGATCGTCAGAAGTACCTGAAATAAAATCAACAACTGGAAGCCCGAATCTTAGTAAGTTCCCCCAAAATACCAACGTCATACAGATTTAACCATATCATATAACAAACACATCATGCATAATGAGCCATTAGTCTGACTGGACTGCATCACATGTCACACCCCCAAACCGGAACGGCGGAAACGTTCGGGGGTGGAGGACGTCATGTGTAGTATCACAACAAATGTATCATAGCAATCATAGTAAACACAACCATTACATTGAATACGTAAATGAAAAAGGTTTACATCTGTTTAATTCTTGTTTGTATACATCAAAGTATAATCAAAATAAAAAGACATGACTCCATACTCTTCGTCTTCTCAGAACTCCGGAAGGTACCTGTCTACTGATTTCCTGAGAATACAAGCAGTTTTGAAAGAGTATCAGCATAAAGCTGGTGAGTTCATAAACTATGTTTTGTAGTGAAAACTTGTTGATGTATCTTGTAAAATGTTCGTATGTTTCCAAGAAAATCCAATATTTTCTTTAGTAAAAGCATGATATTACCAGTTCCTTCTATGAAAGTTTGTTACGGTATCCTTTGTAGTATAAAACATTTAAGTTTATATGCTTGGTTACTACCAATCTGTATAGTATGATGAATTCTGTGTGAAAACCTCTGTGTATGAAATGTTCAGTTTGAAAACCCTCGCTACCACCAATATGTATTGTATGTTCTGTTTGAAAACCCTGGCTACCACCAGTATGTATTGTATGTTTTGTTTGAAAACCCTGGCTACCACCAGTATGTATAGTAGTTTTATTATTTAAAATAAAACCAGTTGTTGTATCCCTGGAATCCTCCAGTGTAATGTATAATAGTTCTATTAATTAAAATAAAACTAATGAAGAATGTAATCCCATAAAAAAAGGTTAGTTTATACTAACTGTGAGTCATATATAACCATGCTTGATATGACCTAGTGACCTCTACGACGTTCTTCAGGCGTCGGATGTTATGACATTTGTCACCCCATGCATGCCTGCCTAACTGTAGCTAGCAGTTCAGTTGTGGGATTATCAGTCCCGAATAGATCTATTCACAAATCTCACACTCTCCCTCCAGGAGACTCTGGTTATACTATGATAGGATTTAGTTTAGTACACCAAAGGGTACAGTTTTGAAGTAGAGTCTCATAATTCTGTATAATCTAGTTTACATGTAATTCTGTATTGTTCTCCTGTATTTGAATCCGTTGAATACTGTATAAGGTAATAATTATACTTAAATAATTATTAATCGTTGTACTCTTGTAGTAATGTATATCATAAACTAAATCTGTCATAGTTTATATGTTCAGCAATGTATAACTCAGTGTAATGAAAACCCCAAACTATACATATTATAGTTTGAATGTATATAGTATATCCGGTTTGTATATCGATCTGAAAACTATGCATTCATGATTGCACGTTGAAAACGCCCCTTATGCTCAACATAATACAAAAGGGGATAAAATATCTAAATATTTTATAAAATGTGAAAATCGTTTTTCTGTATCTATGCATAAGTTTTATACTTGTTAAAAGTCCTTTTGTATTAGTTTCACAAAATCATTTGTGTTTGGCTTGTATTCCCCCTGAAAACGTTTAAAAATCATGAAAAGCGTAGGGGTATGAACTCACCTCGGGCGAGTGGTTTGTAGGAAAGATCGATATGAGATGCTGAATGTCAAGTGAAGCCTCGAACACAATTGGATCCTAATTAACATTTAATAACACATATATGATTCAAATTAGGGTATTTCACGACTAGACATGATAGGAAACCACCCTAAGGTCTTGGAAACACTTGAACTAAGTGTTAAAACCATATGTGATTGAGTGAGGGAGGTGTACGGCCACCCTAAGGGTGTGTACGGCCTATGAGTGTACGGCCGTACACTCATGAAAAAAGTGTGCATGTTGAGGTGTTTTAAGGCCCTATGAAGCATCAAGGAAGTGCTCTAGGTCCCATGCTTAGTTGTAGTGCAAGTTTAAGGCCAATAAAGATCATCAAAGTGGGTTTACGACCCTAGGAGGTGTGTGCGGCCGTACAAGGGATGTGCGGCTGTACACCCTTCATGTTCATGCTAAAGTTGTCGACTTTAAGGTGAATCAAGGCTAGGATCAAAGGTTTAGCATGTCCAACTAGCTGATAGGGGCCAAACTCTCACTTTGGAGGGCCTTTAAGGTGTGTACGACCACACTTATGAAGGTGTGCGGCCGTACTCCTTCCAAGGATGAAGAACATGATGAAACTTGAAGATTCAAGGCTTAAATCAAGAGGTCTTTCAAGTATAGCAAGCTAAAGGATGGAATACTTACGTTTTTGAAGCCTTAGAGGGTTCACGGTTGAGTAAGCTTGAGACAAAAGGGAGTAGTGTGCAGCCAAGGGGAGAAAGGAATGAAGGAAGGGAGGTCTACTTATATATATAGGGGTGGGTGACCCACCACCTTGAGTGTGCGGCCATGAGGGGGGTGTACGACCGTACACCCATGTGTACGGCCGTACACTCCTCCTAAAGGATCGTATGGCCCGAAATGCTACTTTACGACTTTGATAACTCACCCCTAATCTCAACCTTGGTTGTACTCAAGCTTAGAACACTTAAACGAGCCCTTAAACCGTGCTAAAAGATAACAAAAACGAGTTTAACATTGATTGAATTGAATAGTTGAACAAGGTAGAAGTTCCGGGTTGTCACATCACCCCCCCGTTAAAGGGAATTTCGTCCCGAAATTCAAGAATAGAAATACATATCATGAACTTGGAAAAAGATGAGGGTACTTCTGTTTCATTGAATCCTCACGCTTCCAAGTGAATTCAGATCCCCGCTTGACATTCTAGCGAACCTTCCGTATAGGGATATGGCTTTGATTCGTTCGTTTGACTTCCCGGTCCATGATTTCAACTGGTTCCTCTACGAAATGTAAACTCTCGTCTAGTTTGATCTCATCGAGGGGAATCACAAGTGTCTCATCGGACAGAAACTTCTTTAGGTTTGACACGTGGAAGACAGGATGTACGTTGCTAAGTTCGCGGGGTAACCGGAGTTTGTATGCTACAGGATCGATCCTAGCAAGGATCTCGAATGGTCCAATGTATCTTGGATTTAGCTTTCCACGCTTTCCGAAGCGTATCATGCCTTTCCAGGGTGAGACCTTCAAAAGGACACGGTCACCAACCTGGAACTCCAAGGGTTTTCGTCTCTATCGGCGTAGCTCTTTTGTCTATCTCTTGATGCTTTTAGTTGTTCTCGGATTTGTACGATCTTTTCAGTCGTCTCTCGGATGATTTCAGGATCCGTGAGAGTGCTATCGGGGGCTTGATGTAATGCCCGTGTTTCTAGGCTAAGCATTAATATTGATGTGATAGTCTAGGTTAACCTTTGCAACTCATTTTG